CCTAGTTAGAAGGCTCTCCCCGCTCACTCAGGAACACAGACATCCAGGGGACCGCCATGCTCCTGCCCTAAGAGGGAGACCTCGCATTCTCCTTCCCCAACACTGAACAGAGAGAAAGGCAAGTGTTCCTGCCCCTTGGGAGCTCTTACGTGTGGAAGGTTAGAGTCACTTGCTGTTTCTCTGCACCTGACTGCTCCTCTGGAGGCTCGTTCAGCTGCAGCACTCCCACCTCCTCTCCCTGGAGGCAGCGGGAGTCCAGCCTTCAGCTGCAGCCTGATCTCTGTCCCCTCTTCCCCTGCCGTCCCTCCTCCTAGCGCCTTCACGGCTTCCCGGAATGTCTCTGCTCTGCATGCCCAGTCTGGAGCCTGTGGTTGGTCTGTGCCCCTGGTTCCTACTTCTGTGGCCTCCCCTGTCTCTGGGTCTCCTCCAACCTCCCACCATTGTAAGGAGGCCCTGGCCGAGGTGGGGCTTCGTCTCACGATGATGCTGTCAGTGCGTCTGTCAGCTCTGTGGGACTTCCTGGCTCTGCGCAAATAGCATTCAGGCTCTTTCACTCTAAGTGTAGGTGATCATTCCACTTCCTGTCGCCTTTTCCTCTTCTTATCCCATAACCTTTCTCACCTCACTCTCCACTTCCTCCTTCCGTCATCTTCCAAAACACATGCAGGCCAGGCCCTCACTCTCCTCACTACCTGCAGGCCTCTTTCCCTTGCCCTGCTGCCGCTCCTCACACTGCACTCCATCCTCAAAGCCGCACCTTCTCCGTGGTTTCCGGTTTCCTGGAAAAGCAGCTGCACCTTTCCAGCATCATCTGTCAGGAAACAACACTCCCCAGGTCTTTTTCTTGGCTGCATCCTGCCATTGGCCCTGGATTTCTGCTCCTGAAATGCACTTCCTGTGGTGTGCATCAAGGTCAGCGTCTCCTGTACGTTAAGGGATGTGTGTCCCATCCTGTGCGGACAGGTTTGCTCTGCCCTGCATTACTGGCCTCGTGTCCACTTCCTGTGTGCACCTAAGGCTGTGGACACCTGTGATCAGGAAGCACTCAGTGATCCCCTCTCCATGGTGCACTGCAGGACAGAGCTGTTACAAATAACAGCGACCTAAATAACTTGGGCTGCATGATCTGAGGCTTTGCTTCTGTTTAAGTCTGGTGACCCGGCAAGGGAGAAAGACGTAGGAAAAATGTAATATTCTCTACAAGCTAACTTTGGGCTCAGTAGATAGACTACTGGATTTAGGTAGTCCTTTAACTCACCAGCTGTGTCGCACACAGTCTGGCTGTATTCAGAGTAACGCCTCTCCTGTGCTATGACCTGAGGAATGCCAGCCTGCTATTTCCTTGGTGTTTTGTGTGTGTTTGTTTGTTTCCTTGTTTTTTTCCTTGCTTCATTTCACTTGTGGTTTGAAAGACTGCAGAGAAATGCAGCTCATCATAGAACTAAGGAGGCTAAGATGTGTGTAAAAGCATAGAATATAATCCTGCAAATTAGGACTTTGTAAAATTGTAGGTGATTCCATTTTTTTGGAAAAATAATGGGTGGCCTTTTTATGCAGAGTCATTTGGCATCTTTCTGAGAGCCTAGAAATAAATTTAAAAGCACCATAACATAAGCAGTCAAAGGCATGGTAAACTCATCCTTTGACTTTTCTTTAACTTATCCTAAGAAGATTGTGGGACTTATTTGGTTCAAGAATGAGAAATGAACTCCAAGTAAAGCTTTGCTGACTTTGTATTCGTAATGCACTTTCTCTTTCGCTGTTTATGTTTAGAAGATAAATGGTCTACCTGGATATTTTCTGTGCCTCTTGTTTTCGGGTGTCTGTTTGAAGGGTTTTGTTTTGTCTTGTTTCTCCTTTAATTGGCTGCACAGGAAGACCCATCCTGCATTGTGAGTTCAGCATTTCCCTCGCTGTCATCCATCTCATTGTCAGTGCCCACACAGCATGGCCAGCGCCACATCTGCCTCCTGTACGGTGCCACCTCTCCAAATACAGAAAGCCCCACAGAGCATGCCCATGTGTTCCCACCTGGTGCAGGGATGGAGAGCGGACGGGCCCATGTCCTCACGTGACACTGAACAGTTTCCTCTTCCTCTTGGTTTCCCATTACAGATACTGCAATGAACATTTGCTCTGTCCGCCGCACATGTTCTGGACAGGCTGGGGCCCTTGGGAACGGTGCACTGCCCAGTGCGGGGGTGGCATTCAGGCTCGCCGCAGGACCTGTGAGAACGGGCCCGACTGTGC